TTCCTTCCTTCCTTCCTTCCTTCCTTCCTTCCTTCCTTCCTTCCTTCCTTTCCTTCCCTTCCCACATTAGTTTTCCTCCACCAGAGATTACTTCACCAGCAGTTGATCAAGTTACTGAGTTGGGATCTGTCTACAAGAGCTTTGTTGAGGTTGAGATTGGGTAATATTTGCAGTTGCAACTATGGCTGGGTGTTTCCTAATGTTACGGAACTTTTCCTTCCCGATGCTCCGAAGCGGAGGCCGCTTTTATTCCGGGGGTGCCCTTCCTTCCTCTCCCTGGGTTCTCAACCGGGCTCTTGCTTTCATGTTTCCCTCAGGTGGTTGCGCTCAGCAAAAGGACCAAGGAAGCTGAGGCCGCGTTCCTGAGCGTTTACAAGCAATTACTCAAAGCCCCAGGTATGGACGCCGATGGGTCTCCTTCCCCTCTGGCCCTTGTGGCCTCGAGGCAGCCCCTTGTTACCCGAGACCCTCTTGGGAACGGAAGGGTAGAAAGCCAAGGGGGGTCCTGGCTTTCCAGGGTCTGGAGACCACAACAGAGCTGCAGCTGCTGTCCTGCTGAGGGCCTCTGCCTAATCAGCAAGAAGGCCTGCCCGTCCCAGGATCGGACCGATATTTTAATTCCAGTTGGGCTTATTGGAGTCCAACACGCCCCCTTCTTTCCTTCTTTCCTCCTCCTCCTCCTCCTCCTCCTGCCTTTCCCCTTCCTCCCTTCCTTTCGAAGCGTGAATGGCTTCTGTCTGTGCAAACCTCACCCGAGAAAAAGCGTGTGCCTCAGCAAGTGTTTTGATACAAGGAGTCCGGGATGGCGCGTCTGTAATTACAGGAAGGGGGGAAAGATATCGTAATTTTTCCTGATATTGTTCACCCAGATGTGGCGTGGGGAAGCGGGCTGGGCGCGCGTCTCTGTCGGACACGGAGAGGAGAGGGAGGGTGGAGAGGAAGCAGTGAAATCATGTTAAAAGCATAATTAAAGTCATTGTTGAGAGTGGATTGATTTGAGTCTCGTTTTAACTCGCATGGCAGCGACAACTGATTTCTTCATTGTCTTTTGCACGCACCGCTCCCTCTCGACGGGAACACGACGGGGGGGAGAAGAAGATAGGTTGCTAAGTAAGGACCGGGCTGGGCATAGGAAGGAAGCAGAAATACTTTATTTTGCAGCTGGGATGGAGCTTTCCGGGGATTTCAAATCAGAAATTTGGGAGGGTTGCTAATGTCTAGGTAGGGCTGGATTAAACCCCTTAGGTTGCTCATATGTTTTGACTTGATAAAATGAGCTCTGTTTACCTGCTAAGTGAAATGTTTAAGGAAGAAGCTGGATTCCCCCAAAGGCCCAGTGTTGCGGGGTTGATCACAGGGTGCGTAGCTCCAATCCTGCTTCTAAGACTGAAGATGCAACTTTGGATCTGAACCAGCAGGTTCTTCCAAACCATCCACAGCGAAGACAGCCGAGACCTTCTAAGGATGGACTTTTGCCTGTCCACACAATAGCCATTTCCCCTGGTGAGAATGGCTTCATGAGGGCAAGGAGAGCCTGAGCGGACAGCCGGGATCCCTGGACTCTCGATCTGTTTGTGTCCTGGCTGCCTGTGGGAAGATCTGCCTCCTGGGTGCAGAAAGTGACCCACGCTTTAGGTTTCTCTCCTGGCTGTGTTTGGGAGGACTTGGAGAACCTCTCGGGGACCACAGTTGCTCAGGGCGTGCTGTGGCCAGAGCTGCCCTTAACCACAGACAATGACGGTGCGCGGGCATTTCTTGATGGAAGCAGCTTCAGGCTGCGGCTGGCTGCAAGCAGAGGTGGAAAGGAAAGAGGACGTTTTAAGAAGGAGCTGCCGGACTCACTGGAGTCCAGCTTGTCTCTCGGAAGACCGAATCAGGAACCTGTTGCAGCTACATTCAAGAGAAATCAAAAGAACTACTCTCATTTCCCCTCCTTCCAAGATTTTACCAGCCTCCTAATAAACGGTTGAGGTGTTAGAAAAACAGCAACTGGCCTAAAGCCTCCAGGTAGATTTTTCTGGATTGCGCATGAATTTGAGTCCGGATTTCTCAGTCTGCTGTAATTCTGGAACCGGATATTCTGGGGTTTCCGGGAGAAGCCAGTTGCCAGTTAGGTGCCATTGGTCTCACCTGGAACGACTCACCTTCACGTTCTCACCTTTGGCTTTGCTATGGCTGCTTGCAACCCTCTAACGGAGGAAGGTTGGGCCTCCAAGCCCCTTGGCTCTGCCCTCAAGCCGAAGCTGCTCCTTCCGTCTCCGGTAGACCTGGTGGTTGGAAATCCTGCTCATCACCTGGCACCTGGAGGCCTGTGGCTTAATAGTCCACATCGTTATCTGAGCTCTGAAAAGTTCTTAACAGCTGTAAAGTTAGCCAGCCTTTCTTTTCTGTTCCATGATCCCCCACGGGTGACCCACCGCTGCGGCTGATATAAGTGAACACCTGGGTCCTTGGCAAGAGACACAACTGCCCTTTTAATGGCTCTGGATTTATGGTCTCCACCTCTTGGTACATCTTTGACCCCCCCCTGGCAAAGAAGACCCCCCCAAACCATCTCCTGGTGGCTCACCATTTGAAGAGCATCAGACCAGGCTCAGACAAAAGCTGGAAGATTGATGAGAACTTGGGAGCGTTTAGGTCGGAGATGTCCAACCTTGGCCACTTTTAAGACTTGAGGACTTCAACTCCCAGAATTCTCCAGCCGGGGGAACTCTGGGAGTTGAAGTCCGCCAGTCTTAAAGGGCCCAAGGTTGGACACCCCTGGTGAACACCTTGAAGGGTAGAACAACCCCGCATCTTTGCGCTGCAGAGGTCCGCGGTGGCTGCCCATCCAGAAATCTGAGGCCAAAATGGTTTTGCTGTATATTTGCAGATCTGGCTGGTTTTCGTTTTCCCCTCCGTTTGAGCAAAAGCTCTCATCTCATTAAGGACTCTGCATTGATTTAAAACAGATTTGATTGATTACTCTGCTAAATCTGTGGTGCATATGATTAAATCTGTAGCTGTGAGGAAGATGACATCTTTTTTTCAATTTTTTTTTTTGGTTCGGTTTGGGTTTTTTTTTTTTCACACGAGGCGCCCTTCGCATTTGCTGCCCCCGCTTAAGGCCGGAGGGAGGGAACGAGGGGCCGAGAGTCTGGTTGGTGGCTAAGAGAGAAGCTCCTCTTGGGCCAGTCCTCTGGAGCGTCTGCTCTGGCAGGGCCCCCCAGGGCCACGGTTTCCATCCCACGTTTTGCTTAGGCAGTGGCGGGCAGAGAGCAGGGTGGCATTTCCTGCCGAGGTAAGCAGGCGTGCTCCAAAGAGGACCCTTCCTCTCCTGGGGCAACCCACCATTATTAGCCAGCCCTGCCTGTAGTGGAGTGGGGGGGGTCCCTAACGCCCCCCCCCAGGCCAAGGTAATTATGCACTGACATCATTAACCCAGCAAACCCCATTAGGAAGGCCAGCTAAAAAAATGCATCCTTAATTATTTGTTGTGTGCATGCTAATGAGTCCATCTGCACTGCCAGTGTACGACACAAACAAATTAATTTACAAGCCTGGATCATTTTTAATAAATGTGTGTGTGTGTGGGGGGGGGAATTGGGGCTGGTTTCTCGCTCCTTTCCTCCCTGTTTCTTTTCAGACCAGGGTCGGTGGGCTGGGGTGGGCTGGGGGCTGGAGAAGCCATGCCTCCCTCAAGGTTGGGTTTCTGACCTGGCTTAGCAACTCTGACCCCCGTGGGAGATCTTCCCCACCGCCGTTCTAGGCTGAGCCCGGCAGATTGTAAGAGAGAAAACCCAGCGTATGACTCTGGTTCAACGCGAGGAGCATCCCGGCTTTGGGTTTCTATTTTGGGGGTGGCAAAATGTTTGAGAAAACAGCGCCCTCCTTAATAGGACCAGAGAGACAGAATGAGGCACGTACGTTTTCTATGGAGGGAGCTTAAAATCCTTTGGGAGGGCTTCTCTCTCTCCCCCTCTCCATCCCTCCTTCCCTCTCTCTTGCTTTCATCTATCATATCTAATCATCTATTTTCTCTCTCTTTCTCATCATCTACCCTCTCTTATCTATCTATCTATCTATCTACCTACCTACCTACCTACCTACCTACCTATCTTTCTTTCTCTCTGCCTGCCTGCCTGCCTGCCTGCCTGCCTGCCTGCCTATCTATCTATCTATCTATCTATCTATCTATCTATCTATCTATCTATCTATCTATCTATCTACCTACCTATCTATCTATCTTTCTTTCTCTCTTCCTGCCTGCCTGCCTGCCTATCATCTATCTATCTTTTTCTTTTCTTTCTTTCTTTCTTTCTTTCTTTCTTTCTTTCTTTCTCTCTCTCTCTCTCTCTCTCTCTCTCTCTCTCTCTCTTCCTGCCTGCCTGCCTGCTTGCCTATCTATCTATCTATCTATCTATCAATCTACCTACCTATCTATCTACCTATTATCTATCTATCTATCTATCTATCTATCTATCTATCTATCTATCTATCTATCTATCTATCT